AGTTGTATTTCGCAAATAAGAGTTGTATTTCAGTATACATTCAGATACTGGGATACGATAAAATGGTTTCATACTAAGCGGCGCCGTTGTGAATTTTAATGCAGCATACGGTATATTTCAACGTAGATAAGTATGCAGCGGCTGGCCGAGAGCCGGCTAAGCCCGTATTTATTCTACGTATTTATTCAGGTAAATGCGATAAAAAAATGGTTATGTGTGCAAACACTGCTTATGCTAGAGTGTGCCGCACTATTTACCAATGTTGATTTACCCCGGACACGAATTGCTGGTTCGGTTGTGAAAATTTGTTGAGCAGAAATAAAATTCGAACATACACTTAAGACGTTCTTCTTGAAAATTTCAAAGCATGCAATTGGCAAAATATAATGCCGATCGAATCGATCGCTTCCCGGTTTTACATAATATTATGCACTGTTTCTGTGGCTTTCGTTGCGCCACCATTATAAAATGCACGATAACCAGAAACGTTATAACTACGTGTTTAATAGAATTAGAAAGGACTGTCCAACTTCAACCGTAGTTACAGTATGCCATTTAAGAGTAATTATGACGGTAAACTAGTTGTTAATGTTAGCGGTGATGCAACCATCTACGACTAGCTGTTACAGTAGGTGGCAAAAAAAAAGTTTCTACGTTCTGCCGCATCATTTTTATGTGGCGGTCGCTAATCAATATTCGCTCAGTTAGCGCGATGAGGTGGATGCAAATTAACTAGGCCGTTACATCGAAAAACGCAAAAAGTTGCAGTTGACAATAACATAAATAGAGCTACAGTGACAAAACGCAAGATCGTTACGGGATTGTTCCAGCCCACAGAATACAATTCAGGAAAGGAAAGCCGCTGCAGCACTTCCTCTGACCTTCGAACGCCTACAGACAATATTATTCTGTATAAAACCCTACGAAAAATGCAGCAAAAACATCTTGGCTCTTTTAATGTCGAAAAAACTCTGCAGATATGGCAGAGTTTGAAGACATATTTTCTCAAGCGAACAAAATAAGCAGATGTCGGCTTTGTTAGACAACGTGCAGCTACGCTAAATGGATCCTCCAGGAATCTTACCTGCATGTCATTTAACGTTTGCCGCAACGTCCTCTTGTCGAGGCGAGCGTTAATGCGAACCCAACATTCGAATGCTTCATTAGAGTGCTGTTTCCGCATCGGTGGTCATCTCGACTATGAATTTATAACGACGGGCGTGTTCCCAAGGTGCCGAACACGATCGCACTGCACCATCAGTGTGCTACTCCACCTTGAAAATCCATCGAACCCAAAGCGCCACTACAACTTGACCTTATCGGCAACTTCCGGGATGGACTTTTTATGAGAAGTAGCTTTCCCTGCGGCAGAGAAAGTGGCGTTTGCCGCTTTCTATGGCGCAAAGCAAGTTACTTCCATGCCTGCGAGCACGCCGTCTCTGTTGTGTCGATTCCCTGCTTGTAGAGAATTTTTTAACGAGCCAAAGTTTCCAACAGCGATCACTTTTCATAGCAAAATCTACCGTTTGTTAACTCTGAAGCAGAAACACCATCCGACTGCCTTAAGAAATGTTAAAACATTAATTTGCATAGCAGTAAACTCGGTGTGTCAAGGACTACTTATTAACATAGATAAAATTAACTGCAGATCCGTCGTGATAGGCAGCCAGTAAAATACGACGGTATTCAACGGGCTGCCTATCACGATGGGTCTGCACGTTTCCACGCTATCTCCACGTCTTATCATTGTGTACGTCTTCTGAAGTGTGTTTTCGTGGCAGGTCGCCTTCCCCCTTTTATTTGAAGATAGTGTTAGGCCAAAGGTTAATCTGGTAGCTTGCCTTCTTCTCTCTGCTGCTCTATCTGTAACTTATCGATGTTAAAGGACAAACATGTAATTAGTGTTGCCTCTGACGAAACGGAGTTGAGGAGATGGTATTCAAGCATTCTGTTAAACTATTTCTACTGCGCATTAGGACAGGCAGGCACCTTTCAGTAAGGTGATCCCAGATGGCGCACTACGCAAGCGCATTAAGTAGGTTGCGTTTTGCACGGCGCTGCGATTAACGGCAAAATTAACGACGAATTTGATGTTGTTAATTCAAGGCTTCGTAAATACGAAAAAGAGGTTGCGTTTTAGACTGAACAATTAACACCTACAGATTAACGGGACGAATTCTATTTTTTTAAACATTCATTTCCAAGTTTCTTTAGTGCTAACAAATATAAAAAATTTCGCTTTGCAGCGTAAAAAAATCAAAAGGTTTTTTGCGGGATAGAATATTAAGCAAAAATGGTATTAAAATTTTTTCACGTAGTCAAACAGACTGAAACAGCGCAGTGTTCCATTCTGGGATACAGTACAAGCCGGTCCGGAGTTAGAGCACGATAGAGAACAGCGAACACTGTAAATTCATGGGTTGCGCCAATTGTACGTAGTGCAGTGGCTATCGTCTAAGCGCTAACAAAGCGCTTTTTATGCATTAGCTGTATCTTTACGTGCTCTAACTCCGGACCAGCTTGTACATGCGCGCCGTTTGCTGCTGCTGTAAGGCGCTGGATTTCCTACACTGCACTGGCCATTGGGTAAGCCCTAATAATAATATAGATAATCGTATAATTGTATTATAGTTTGTCAATAAATTAAAAGCATCATTTGAGAAAATCATTTTGCTTTCAGCTGGCAAAGAATGAAAGAAACCTGTAGCAGAAGTGCAACGGTCGAGGATTGCAGTTTCCGAAAATTCCAGTCGAGTGGGCAACTCAGGATTGAATGCCCAGGCAGAAAGCCACTGGGTAGACTGTTCTGTCCACGCAGCGTTCGTGCTCAGTGGTCTATGTGAGGCCAGTCGTTTATTACTGATTCTCCCCTTCGTTATTAACGAAACGATACCCCCTTCGTTTCGTTAATAACGACGAGTGCTGACGCTTAAACGTTCGTTAATTGTACCCCCTCGTTGATTCTATCGTCATTCGTACCCCTTCGTTGATACCGCAAACTGCTTATTGTCTTGTGTCATAACAGGCTGCCTGCAGCATCAGAACAAAGGTCAATTCTATGCAACAGGGCAAATATTTTGTTCGATGGCATTACATTGTACATGAGACTTTCTTATGCAGCATGTCAAACCTGTTATTCGATGGCACTGTACAGCGCATAACAGTATACATGGTACTAAATTTTGCTGTAAAGTGATAAGTTCATTTTGCATCATCGTATTTGGCAGTATGAACTTGTTTGTTTTTGATAAAATCAACTTCAATTCTGAACTGCCATCAACGGTGAGCAGGATTTTTCAACGTGTTGCAACCGGCCCACCGGGACTATAATTATATCGATGGCAATTTTTGGTGCTTGTATTTCTAAGATTGTAATACATCTATGGAATCCCCTGATAATATTCGCCGCCGTTTCGCTTTTATTGTAATTTGTGAACAAATAAACTTTTTGGTCTTGGCCGAATTATATAATAATATGCATTTTGAAAAAATATGTGCTCACACAGCCTCCCAGTATAGACAGCCATGGCACACCGTTGCTTTTAGTGTAAACAGCTATGTACAGTAATGTGTATACTACACCATCCCATATGACTCTGCGAAATGGAGCTGCACAGAGGTTTTGTTTGTATAAGGTTTCGAGTTAATAAGCTAAGTTTGAGGAGAAATTTCACTGTCAGTTACGATATCTGTCATTACACTATGTTTGAACGCTCAACCCACAAGAAACATTACGTTTTAGCACCATGTAACCAGTGCTTTATCATAGTCTGTATGATGTAACTGACATCTCTCTTCACAGTAGTTGATGTTTTCTGTTCAAAATAAGACAAAATTAATATCTTATCTTATGCCATATGCAGTCTCTTGTGCCCCACCTGCATACTCTCATATTAGTGGTATTACTCACGTACGTATTTTGTGGCTTTTAGGTACATCAGCCTAGTGTAACCGTACTATTTTGACGTTTGCAAACCTCCGTAACAGATGTGTCGCCACATCCGTGAGCGTGTTGTACAAACGATCGTCCTACGTTTTCCCGCGTTCCTGTATAATGAGTATACAAAGTTGTTCTTGAAACAACAAATTACATATACTGTGGGCCAGCTGCAAAGAACATATGATTTCGGCCCGGTTGCTCAGGTCCGGCTTAACAAATACATTAAAGCAGGATGGCCGCGTCGACAACGCAAAAAATAACACGTGGCGGACAAAATTTGCGGATACACATGTCGGGATAGCTGGACTGAATAAAAATTTGGCTTTACTCCGCCGCGACTAAGAATGCATAATATTTTAAAGCCTTTGTTGGTTTCTTTTTTGGCGAACGCTATGATTTTAGGTGGTATCGGCGACTTACTCTATCGGCGTTTGCATAGCGGAATAAATAGTTTTGCCCCATCCCATCGAGTTCCCAGCGTTACATCCGAATTGAGGGCACAAAGCAGGCAGAAGAAACACATATGGTTATGGAATACTAAAAACACTATGGCAATAATGATAAAATCACTACCTTATCCCGGCAAGTATTATCACATAAGTATAGATCTGCATGTACAAGAAGTCAGTGTTTCGTGGCATTTGTAAAGTACACTATTAGTTTAATTTACGACTTCGACGGACAGTTAACGTGTGTTGTCAACGGTTCACCGCTTAACGGGTAATTCCGTAGACCGTTTGCATGCTTTCGACGCTACAAAATTTCCCGAGGGAAGAAAATTAAATTACCGGGCCAAAGACAGTATTATGCCAAAGGCTTAATCAATCATTAAAGAGCCTGAATGCAGTTATTTTGCTGCAAATAACGAGTCTGCTGTTAAGGAAATGTGCATTTTTCTGTTTTGGACCGCGACTTCCTGCACTGACTACAGCAGAGCTTCTGACTTCTGTCGACATCGCTGCTGTTTTTAAGGCTTTGACTCAGGGAATTGCGTACATCATGGGTCATGGAAGTTCTACCGTTGTGTTCTGCCTTTTTATGTTTTTGTTAAGCGTTAAAGGATCCGGCTGCCACGTGAACAGGAGCACCAGCGAGGCAGCGACACGAATCTGAGTTCGTTTAGAGAAGGCGGAGAAAAAGAAAATTCAAGTGATAGTGCCACAACTGAGCCGAGCAGACTCTATACCGAAAATCAAATCCACACAGCCTATCTGGCATGTCGAGCTGTGTACTTCTGCACGTGGATTCTGTGCACCGTGGGAAATGGACTGAATCTGGTTGTCATTTTACGTAGTGTTTCCACGTGGAGAACATCGGCGTGTCATTACGTGATCGGAACCGCCGTCGCTGATTTGGTAGCACTGTAAGTGTGCCATGGTGCGCAAGGCAACTGGCTTTCGTGAGAATTAAACATCAACATAAAATTAAAAACAAACATTTTGCATAAATACGAAAGGAGCCTATACCTGCACGGTTGCACCATAGAGAGAATAAACATACGCCGCTTCGCTTCGCTTGCTCTGTATGAGTGGGTGCATACAGAGCAAGCAAAGCGAAGCGGCGTATGTTTATTCTCTCTATGGTTGCATTTGTGGTACCTGCACTATGCATTTCTACTTAACTGTAGAATTATTCTGAGATCGTTAAGTTTATTTTGCCGATGACAGATATGAAATTGAAATTGCTTACGAAAATTGATATTTCCTGCATTTTGCACGTCGATCGAACATCTACCTGCGCAAAAATTATTTTCAGATGGTGCGGTCTATTCGAATTTTTACCTTGGGAGGATATTGGTAACAGTCTCGATTCAGCGAGATTTTTCACAGATATTCTACGGTGGTTCGGTAACGCTGGAATGAGTTTATCCGACTGGTATGGCTATCAGAATGTTATAGTGGCATCTAAGCATTTTACCCGTACCCGGCAATCAAATTTCGTTGCACGTCAGCTCTTTGACCTTCGCTTCGCTATGCGTCGTTTTGCTGACTACTGCCGACCGACAATTTACTATTTGACAAATTTGCTTACCAGTGTTTTGTTGGAACCGTTTTCGTGGTTTTTCGTAGTCTCTTTAAGCGCTTCATAGTTTTTTTTACACAATTGTGGGTGCAAGGGAACCTACTTGTCGGTCATCAACTTGTCGTTTCGACAAGATATCGGGTATGCGTTTTATCGGTCAGTTAGGTCGCTTAAGTGGCATCGGCAAGTTGCCAGTCAGCCAAACAGTGGTCAGCACATTGCCAGTTTCTCAATACGTTTTGCATGTGTAATTCGTTTCAATCTTTATTACCAGGATTCTGGTGGTTTTCTCTTGGGAGCGGCTATTTGTGATTGTGGACCCTTTTCGATTTGGATTTCTGCAGCGAGTTCTAGCAGCGCGCATTGTTATTGCCCTTCTCGTCATGTTGTCGCTTGCCTGCTACGTACTCGAAATTGTCGGAGGTTATATATGGTGGTTTACAGATTGCGAAGTTTTCAATGCATCAGAATGGTTATCTGCATGGTACGAAATAAACCGAAGAGCGCTGGTACGTTTTCACTTGTCCAGCCTGCAGATTGAAGGTTACGTTCATTAGAAATAAAAGTCTATATGGTAGAAATTCATAGGCGGAAATATAAAATTTCTTGCTACGGGTAGTAATCAGTTTGTTAACCACAGTCAAGCCATGTTGTATTTACACATGGCACCCCTGTATTTCCAGATTGCGGTGAAACTTCTTATATTTTTGTTGATCCTTCTTATCAGTGTAATCCAGACTACTAATCCTGATTGTCTTCCTTGCGCGGCAACAACGATCGGAATTTGGGGAAATGCGCCGCAGCCAGCAAGCTTACAGTGAGGCATCCGCGTCAATTTCTGCCAACAAATCCTTGTCCCAACACGGAATTAACATGATCTTGCTGAGCAACGTACTGCTTTATCTGATCACGCGCACCCCAAAGGTTTTCGACTTGTGCGCAGCGGAATTACCGGTGGACTACGTGAACTTAGCGTACATACACGATGGAACCGTATACCATCTGGCAATGCCAGTTATTATGATTGCGACGTATTGCGGTTATTCGCTGAACTTCTACATCTATCTGCTGATCGAGCGCCAATATCGCCGCCGCTTTATCGACCTAGTCGCCCGTCCACTGTGCCGTCCATGGTTTCCCACAGTGCTCGGTAGTAGGACCAATTCACGCCGAACCGGGGACCGGGAGATGAATGAGAGGCCGTCAACAAACACCACTATTATTCCTGTAAATAGCAGCAACCTATGGTTTCTATAGCATATGATTACGTCCAACGATGAAATTTGCTGGACATTGTTATGTTATCAAACATCCATACTGCACACATATAGGTACAGATACGTTTCGAGTGCAGGTATTGTATATGCCGCTACAATGAGAGAACAGCATAAATCACAACTTTTATTTCAAACCATCACTTACGATGAAATAGTTTTATTAATGCATTCCAGAAAAACGACTACATAAAATTGAACCAAACTATCCCAAGATTTTCCCAGCTCACGCTACACAAGGAAGTAATACCGCCAGATTTAATAATGCCAGTTATAAGTCAGTGAAACTGCAAAATAAAGAGCAATAACTTATACTTCCTTCTCCCTCAACGTACTGCGCGCCCGTGCTAAACACCATCACTAGAGCTCTGCGTTAACGACATTTTTTGCATTCAGCCACTTAATTAATGGCTTTAAAGCAGTCGGGTTTGTACTGTTTCGACGCCAAAGCAGAGTGTAACGGAAGCTGACCTTCCACCAGTGGGAACACGAAAATATCAGAAGTGTAGGATGATCCAGTCATCCGAACTTCCGTGAAGGCGCTATCACAATAAGCCAAGTCTGACATTTCCAAGCGCGGCTTTTAGTTGTTAGCACCAGGGACGGCGGGATGCGCTACCAGCTGCATCCCTGGGAAACTTGTTAAACGATGCTGCAGTACGGAATGCTGTTGGGCTGCGCCTTAGAACACCGATCGTAACTCCGCACCGATGTATGTGCAATAGCCAATAAGTGGTTGGGCGAGGCCGCACAATGCCGAGCTGCTGGCTATCACGTCCCGAGCTGTAAGAAATGGCTAGACACAGCAGCTTAAACGCCACACTTAAACGAGATTTCACCTCATTCGTCAGCCACCATGGAGACTGAATTCAAGCTCCTGGGAATATCGCAAACCAACGGCAAACGCCCTGACAGATTGACCATAATACCATGGGATCGAGGCAAAATGTTAACACGGGGTGTGGCCTTTGTGTATCTATACGATGGCCCTATCCCATATCACAGCAGCATCCACACAAGCCGGCGAAGTGACGGCTTTGGCCGAACTGAACAAAAAAGCGAAGTACAAGAACATCACGCAGGACTACCTGTTACGTGTGGGACTCCAGCTACCTGATCTGGTTGTATAACGAAGATAGGAGGATGTCACTGACGTGTTTGATCCTCTCAGAACTCTTCCCAATCGAACAACATTGCACCCACTCACACTGTTCACCTGATGCTGTTGCTGCAGTTCGTTTCGTATAAGGGAGCGGCAGCAGGGCTGTTTAGAGACTTGGTGGCTGTTATCCGTTGGCAGTATTCAGAATCTGCTGTTATTGTGGGATGTGCGCATTTCTTATCGCACCTTTGATGAACCTGTGATGAACCTTCGCGATAACGGTTGGATACCTTTAATAAATAAGGGGATGTAAATGGATGCTGCAAGCATCGCAATATTATCGGCAGCTGATAAGATATGTAACCGATGTAACCAGAGTCGCAGATAGATTGTCAATCCGTGTCTGCCGATGTTGATACATCGATCAGGTCGTTTTTTGTGCCATTCGTAATGAAACCACTTGCGGCAATACGGCTGATCCCATATATCCTTCTTATCATGAATATTGGTGTTTATTGTTGTTTATTGGTGTTTATTGAATCCATCTGTGGCGGTTATGCTTATTACGGTCCGATATCCGGAATGTCGGAATGTAACAGCTATAGCCGCCTTGGATGAAATTTGCACGCATCGCGCTTTTTCTTTTATTACACCAGCTTCGTTGGGCACGCCAAGCGTTTGTCGAACATCTGGGACTGCTGCGTGGAATTCTTGTCCGGATACAAATCGAATTTTAGTGGCTGTTCGTGCACATCGGCCATTTCACGAAAACATTGCCTGTACCACAAGCATCCCAATAAAAGCCAACTTGAGAAACCAGGTCGTAGCGCCACAAAGCTGTAATGACACATTTAACCGGAATTTACATGGTGTTCTTGCATCTCGGCCATCTATAGTACGGCCATCCGGCATTTTGGTGCGTAGGGCATTGTTGCTGAAACTGAGAATAAAGCTAACAATCCGAAAGTAAACAATAAACAGTAATGATACTTTCACAACGACTCAAGAAGCTTAACATTTTAAGAAGCATATTTACGCCTACTGATTCACGTAGTGATCACGCAAAGTAATTTTACATAATAGCAGTTTTACACTTCGTTCTTTCGTGTGCTATCCAATTGTGTACGTTTTAATTGGTTTAATTCTTGCAATTTGAACAAGCTCAAACGTTCTCTCACGGGTTTGCAGTGCTGCAGTTGTGCAAATTACAGATAGTCAGAGCATGTATGGAGCAGGTTAGCCAATATAATAGTCGAGTAACACCCATATGTTATGCATCTTACGTCAGTATCGTTGTCAAAACGCTTCAGGTTGGAGAACAACCAGTAGTTGGATATCCCGATCAATCAATTCTGCAAACAGCGCGACCGGCTTTTGTGAGAGATGTAAAGACGAAATGTTTACACTGGCAAACTGGGTTTGGCATTTCCTCTAACAATCTTGCCTTCCATCAGCGCAAACAAGATTAAACGTTTAAGGCATCACAGTTGGCTGTCACCGCCGATGTTTGCCGTGAGCTTCATTTAGGTAACTGTAATAACCTAACTGTTTGTGTATCGAAGATTGTCCATGGACGTGTTTAATTCCCTTATTGCTTTTCCCGATCGTATAACAATACAACTTGTGCTTTCACTTGTCGCTGCGGCAGTTAGTTTCGAATCAGGGAGCGGCCAGCAGGGTTGTTAAAGACTTTGTGGTTGTTATCCATTGGAAATATTCAGAATTTTCTGTTATTCTGTGGAATGTGAAAATTTTTTATTTTATCTTTAGGATAAAACGTGTGTGCCTTTAATAACAAAGCTGACTGTCCAAAGCTGAGTAATCCCTGTACTTCAGCCGGCTAAAGTCAAGCGTTGCGGCTGTGCATGCTGCTATGCACCGCGCCGGATTTAACGCACACCGTTTTTCATATTTCTGGGGATAGTTTTTTTTGGTTGTGGCGCGTTTTGCGCTTGTTTATTACCGAATATTTAAAGGCACTTACATTCCGGTCATGTCATATCGCCTGTACTTTACAAAGTAGCCGTAATGTAAGTAAGAACGAGTATATCATTAATTTTGTCGTGGTTTTTATACCGGTGACCCGTAGCGCAGATATGGAGTACCGGGATAAGAACCACGAAAAAATTAATAATCGCAAATGTCTCATATGCTTTCTACTAACTAACTTAATGGAAATGTTTCCTTCTGTTTGGCCACAAGCTAATGCCGTGTTGTCATCCGTTCTATCATAAGTATGTTGACTGCGGACAGTGCGGAGTTTCTGTCAACCGTCTTACTGCCAGTAAACAAGATTAGCAAAAATCCCGCGGCAATATACTTGTACTGCCGTTGTGAGGCTACAAGTATACAGAATCAAAGGATGTTCCTTTCTTGTGATTGAACAAGGTAAAATATTGTTCACTTATGCACGGATTATTATACTATTCACTTATGCACGGACCTTCGTCCAGCTATCATTCAGCAGGCGAATTCGGGGCATTATTAGCAATTACCGGACTGATCCCAGTTATCCTCCTTATCATGGATACTGCATTTTGTAGTTTTTGCTAACCGAGAATTTTTGTTCATCATAAAATCCGCCTGGTGTGACGGGGCGCAAGCCTGCAAACGCCTTGAATGAAAAAACAATTACATACGGCGCATGTATTTGTTTTTCCACTCAAGGCGTTTTCCATTGCGCCTGGCCTGCACGGCATACGAGCCAAATGGGCGCCTGTAGCCGGCAGATATGTTGGCCTGTTTCCTGTTGGCGAGCCCGGCAGGAAAGTGGTTTTTCTCCCATAAATCTGCCGAATTGCTCCCACAATTCTGCCGACCCGACCCTATGCATTTCCTATGGGAGCTCCAATATATCAGCCGAACCGGTGCAACAGTGTAATTTGATACTTTTGCTGAGCGCAAGCCGGCAATAGCACAACCGGGCTGCAGCAGGTGATACATCAAAGTAATCATACAGCCGCTCAAGCATATTGTACCGGCATTAAACATGTGCCATTGCAATGTCCTGTTCTTTACAAGTGGTATTTTTTGTGTTGATATTTTAGTGGGTAATCATTAATGAGCACGATGCTCACGTCCAAATATAATTTATTCGGCAACGGCCACCACTCAAACAAATTCTGCATCCCTGCGCTGATGGAACCGTAAAAGAAATTTAAAAGTTTGCTAAAAAAGCATTGCTTACAAATTTTCAACGTATAAGCAACATACAAGTATTGTCGGTTTATCTGGAATGTCATGCAAAGTTTGGAAATTTTGATACAACGACCACTACATCTGTCGAATTGCGCAAAAAGTCCTGACGACCCGACCCTACGTATTGTTTATGGGGACCCCAAAAGATCCGAACTTCTAAAGAATAAGAGCAGAGAGTGAAAGTTGGATTTCTTTAAAGTTGGAGATCGCATGCTAAGTTCAACTGTGCGGCTGAACCTGTCTATGTAAATTTTTTAAGTAGATTTTTTTTTGAAGCGCTGTCAAAATTTTTATATCCAGTTCTTTAAGAACAGCAGACAACTGACAATGGTATACCCAGTCTGTGAAATCAAATAGAATAAATGATTGCCCAATTCGATAACTTAATTGTGTCTTCATTCAAAATAATTAATTTGAAAATGCAGGTTGGCAGACCGCAGCTTTGCTGAGACTTAATTAGCGTTAATATTTGCTGTTATTTCCGTAATGAATTTCCGTAAAGGACATACATACATTCTGTATTTTTGCAGAATTTAGAGGATTTTTGATACTCTCCGGTCGATTACGTCTTGCTGTAATGGCAGTTGCCGGCACTTGCGTACGTAGTCAGCATACGCGTGAACCTGTTGACTGTCGGCGAGCCCGGCACGAAAGTGGTTTTCCTCCCACTAATCTGCCGAACTGCACCCATAATTCTGCCGACCTGACCCTATGCATTGTCTATGGGTACTCCAATATATCAGCCGAAGCGGTGCAACAGTGAAATTTGATACTTTTGTTGAGCGGAAGCCGGCAATAACACGGCCGGGCTGCAGTATCAGATCCAGATGTACCGACACTAGACCCACAGAAGCGCGCTCTCTTTCTTATTGCAAAGCTTAACTGAAGTTAATTGTTGCCATTAAGCGCGTATGCTGATTGTGAATGCAGACACAAGACAACCGGCATCATTCATCATCTCTGCAAGAAGTAACTAACTAATCTGAATATATCGTAGCTAAAAGCTTTTATGAATACTTTGTATGAAACGTTTCATTCTGTTTAAATTCAGTTTATTCTGTATACAATAAATCGCGTTTCTTTTGTGAAATTCATTTAAAAACTTCATGTAACGAAGCAGGCCGGGCCTGTTATTGCTAGAATTAAACTCTTAAAACTTTACTGTAATTTTGGAAACAACATATCCAGTAATAGATTTGCCGAACTGCGCCAATAGTCCTGACGGCCTGATCTTATGTATTGTCTATAGGAAATCCAATAGATCTAACGAACAAGAACCACAATGATACTTGATATCACTGTCGAGGGCTTGGCAGTGCGCCGGCATACTATTGTCTGCTAAATAATTCTGAGCGCTCTTGTCGGACACGATAACAGATTAAATCACAAAGCACGGGATAAATTTTAAGTGAAACTGTCTAAGGACAGTGCACATCATCCACCATTTTTAGACATAAACATTATGGTTATTTGCAAAAAAGAGAAATATATTCAATAATTTACTACGTTCTGCGATGATATCTGAGTATAAATCCACACTCAGCAGAAACGCTCCACTGCAAGGGTTAGACACGGCGCAAGGAAAGCGCTTGCTTCTCTCTGATTAGTGCCGGTACAATAATTTATGTTTAGGCGGCTGTATAACTACTATGATGTATCTCATTCTGCAGCCCGGCCGTGCTATTGCCGGCTCGCGCTCAACCAAAACTTCAAATTTTACTGTTGCGCCGGTTCGGCTGATATATTGGAGTTCCCATAAACAATGCATAGTGTCGGGTCGGCAGAAATGTGGGAGCTGTTCGGTTGATTTATTGGAGAAAAACCACTTTCCTGCCGGGCTCGCCAACAGGAAACAGGCCAACATATCTGCCGGCTACAGGCGCCAAATGACGATGTCTGGTAAGGAGCGCATATACTTGTTTCCAGTTTTTGCCGACATTGTTGCGTAACCAACCGCTGTACTGTAGAGACTACCACGTATGCAGACATGGTCGCTAACGTTCTACAGTTGAGAACGCCAATCAACACCGCAGTAATTTTTTGCTATCCGGTTTTATATGAGGTTGTCATCATGTGCGAGGAATTCTTGACGCTTCAGAGTGCCGTACTGATCTAATGGAAGAACTGGGCGGTTATTCTTGCAATGAGGCAGTGAAGATAATCTTGTCTTCGGCCCATAATGAGAATAACCGCGATGGCTGAACTTTGCACCCATTACGCTAATTTCACTGCATATTTCACTGCATAGGATCCGGTGGCGCGCCAAAATTATGCGAACATTTTCGACGGCTAGCTGTCATTGGTTACCGGACGGTATGCCGATTTCCTATGGCGGTTCATGTCCATCGGCAGAATTGCGACAACAACTAATATTTAGCCCTATGAGTGTTCAAATAAAAGCCACATTAACTTAAGAGACGTAGTCGTAGCTCTAGAGAAAGTAATATTAAGCGACACAAGGTTGAGAAAATTAGTTAGTGATTAACTTAATTTATTACCTAATTTATTAAGTCAGTTTATTACTGCAGGTTAACTTTCGTCATATTTAGCTAAAGTAAATGCATTTTTGAGTGAATTTACTCTTATATGTTTTTGTGGTTTTTATCTGCCGCATTTCAGGGAGTTGATGTCGCCCTAACAAACAGTTTTCCTCCGAATGTCTCCTGCGGATGTTGCCTGCGAATGTTATAATGAACACTTTGTTCAGTTTAAATGGGAGGGACAGCGTCGCCAGAAACAGATCAAGAAATTAATACGAAAAAACGGCCCCATAGTTTTCACAGTTATAATTGTCATAGTGAAATGCAGGGTATGGCAGAAGTTTGTGAACGTGCGCGAGAGGGAAGATATCGGTGCACGAGTACGAAACTGGACTATGTACCGCGTCATTACCCTTCCAAATTCCAAGAGGGCTGCCGTATATCATACACAATTTAAAACTCGTATTCAGTACTTACTCGCTATTGCGGACGAAATTATTGTTATAGGCTTCGAAGGAGGCTTTGAGGGCGAAATATGGGATACCAACATTACTACGACTATTTACGATAACTATGTACGATTATTATATTTACGATAACTAATAATATAGGTATAACGATATTACCTTGAGTAGGTCCGTTATAATTATATCATTTAAGGAAAATCGTTTCAGCAAATCAATTGCTCGTAAACCGTTGTTTTGTAATCGCTTATTCGAGTAAATTTGACTTTTTTTGTGCAATCGCATTGCGGAAGTAGCAAGTTTCCCACGTTAGGTTGATTTCAATTTTCGACTATAATAGTTTGCTACCTCTGCCGGAGTTTAACCCAGTTTACGATTAGTTGTGTAATGATATTGCGTCTTGCTAACACGGCACAAGGAAATATGATTAAGAATGCAAAAACCGACCGACATCAACGTTTGCAAATGCTCGTTTCGCCCAGGCGAATTGATAAATAACTTGACTTCATTGCTCTGCACTGCAGAATACCGGAAGAAGTATAGGTTCATTCCGTGTCAACAGCAGTGGTATAAGAGCCATGAAACGTTAGCTGTGTTCATTTGTCTGGAACTTTACTTTTATGCTGGTTCATTACTCTTGTGCCTGCCAAAACCATTTCTCTTTGCAGTTTTACATAGCGCAAACTTGGTGTCCACCAAATCTTGTATCGTTGTGGTGGTCTGCACGGTAAAATTGTGCTTAAGCTGTCCTTGGTGATTTATGTGTTGCTTGGTATTAGCGTGCGTACATAACCGTTGTTGGCTGTTCTATGCATGGATCGCCCGCATAAAGTTGAACTATATACAGGGGGCAAAAGTAGAAGTGTTTCACCATCCCCTGTACTGCTGCTGTCAGCCGGCTGGAGTGTGACGTTACAGCAGTACATATGGTTAAATCTTGCGCGGTACATAACCGCCATGTTTAACCACAACGTCACTCTCCAGCCGGGTGACGGCAGCAGTACAGAAGAATGGTGGAACTCGTTTACTTTTGCCCTTATTGTTATCTGTCAAATTTACCGCGTATTGGGACTCAGATGCGAATTGTGTCTACGTCAAAACGCTCGAGCGCGTAACAACTCACGCACTGATTTGTGAGTCAGACAGATTCACTGATAACGCCGCGCGCAATGGTCAGATGGACATTCAGTTGCTGAATTATAAAACCGAGCTATTTAGCTCGGTTTTGTAATTCATGCCTACATCCATGGCCACTCAGCAACTCGTTATAAGTGTTCTGAACGGTTTCAAATTGTCCGAAGTGACACCCTATTGCATTATAACGGTAGGTTATTACGGTGTTATTTATTAACTATTAAGAGTAATAATTACTTAACAGATTTATTTAGTTCACTTACTAATCGGGCAGGAATTTGTGAACTAATTATGACAGTTAATTTTGTGTTACGCTGTTATTTATTATTCAGCGTAAATAATTAGATTTTATTATTTTTTAATTGAGTAGATATTCGTTAACTAATTAAAGCAGTTAATTGCGGCGTTAATTATCATAAAGCGTAAATTTAACAGATTTAATTAATTATTATTAACTTATTCACTGAGCAGAAATTCGTGATGAACGAAATATAGCAGTTAATTACGGTGTTAGTTATTATTAAGCGTAAATTGATAATTTAATTAATGAGCTTACTAATCGAGCAAAACTTTGTGAACTAATTATAACAGTAACCAGTCGCGCTTAATCAACACATCAAAAACACTGCACATTAAAAAACAGATAAATATTAGTCGTTATATTAGAATGATTTTCGCTATTAGGCTTGAAATTGTTGTGTTCCGTTGTCCATGACAGACACAATACGAATGCAACATTCACGACGCTCTCAGATCTGGCAATCACTTCCAATCACGTATGCGTTATCACTGGTGGGAAGATTTTCCATTTTTTTCTCTTGATCATTGCGGAGAGATTAGTCACAGATACGTGCGCAAAAGTCTTGTCGCAGATACTAGCGGCCTGTTTATATTTGACGCTTGTTATTATATCAAAGTGTCTAGTGTCTACGCACGCTCTTGGCGATGTTATTACTGGTACATTTCTGAATTGCGTGCCAACTGACCGGTTTTTCTAGTTTCACATATTATTTGAATAACTGCGAAGATGCTGCGCTGTCCAGCACTGCCAAAATAAAGCTGGTAGAAAAAGGCCCACAGTCGTGAGGCATTTATAGACATTGAATGAAATCGCAATGTCAGTTCAGCGCAATGTAATACCAATACCCTAGATGAATGTACAAACACAGGCAAATGAATTCTGCAGTGCATTCCGCGAGCTTGATCATGCTTCACATTTGGGTAAACTCATGAAATAATGGCGCTAATAAACGCGACGTGATTAATACCCATCTGACTTATAAACGTGTAGAGCCAGCAGACATGTTATGAACTGAAAGATGGCAGTGCTGACACAGCTTCAGTAGCCACGGACACTGCAGTATTGATCGAGAATAATAAATCGCAGTAATCAGCAGCAGTTTTTCCAGTACTCTGTAACACGATCAGGAAGTGCCTCACCTTTACGATTTGCGAGATACTCGGCAGTATCTTGTCCAGTTATTCCAAGGTATCCAATTTCTAAGCTTTGAAGAAGCTCAGCGGCATCCGGCCGCTCCAGCGGATCGAACTTTAAACATGTCTTAATCAAATCTTGAATATTTGTCGGTATCCATTCGTAAACACAAGGCAGCTTTTTGTCGGCGCTGTTGAGGTGATACAGTACAGCCATTTCCAGAGACATGGGCTGATTTTTTGCGCCAATATACAATGGCGGATTACCAGTAACCAGATGCAATACGACACATCCCAAACTCCAAATATCACATTTTCTTCCTACGTCCACGTCTTCCCAAAAGGAATTAACCATTTCGGGAGCAGCAAACCGTCCATCTTGCCCCTGACGCGCACTCACTCCGTGCCGTTCCGTACGGTCGGTTTCCAGCTGCCGCATATACTGAAAGCCTCCGATTTTGATGGTTCCCATGAAATAGGCTTCGCTGAATAAGATAACATTGCTGTTGACACTGCGATGCGCTATGCTGTGTCCATTAAGATACTTGAGGCCTCGCAACACCTCTCGAGTCCACTTAACAATTATTTCGATGGAAAGTTTATAGTTAGCCACGTCTTTGAATGAGCGTCCTGAAAATGGAATAATACTTACCTAATTGTTGAAAGTACGTACTTATCGAGACCCGTTTGTCGAAATTGCCCTACGTAGCCAAAACAATGCAGTTCGGCAAAGATCATCAGCAAGATCAGGCAGTGCTGTTCTTCACTCGATTAATGTTTGCAGTAAAACTGTTGCAAATCATAAATTTTTATTAGCAATTTGATATTTATTTGATTTGGCAATCGTTTGCTCTAGTTAATTCAATTTAAGCTTTCACTACTACATCTACAGTTTATAGCGTACCTGTACAGTGTTCCGTAAAAATCTGCAGCTCGAGTGGAAAAGCAGAATGGCTCGGCTCGACAAATCGACAGCCAAAGTGTTGCAGCACGTTTCTACTACCGTCCTGCAACGCTCGAATTCTAGAAGCACTAGTCAGTTCTTCCGCACTGTAATCTATGGTCAACGCACAGACCAGCCGACCAAAAGCTTTCATCCACAAACTACTTAGCTTTTGCAGTTCGTGTGCCCCTTTGCCGTGCAATGCAAAGCGCCAGATATCAACCACCCGTGGCTCAAGGTCACGAGAACGTTTGTATACGAGTTCTCCCAGTTGATGCGGCAACATTACATCATCACTTCGTAAATACGGGTGAGTCCGCACCTTCGTCAGCTCGAACTTTTCCTTAAAAGATGGCCATTCTTCAAAAAACATAGTATCTAGTGCACAAAGATCCTTCACAGTCTTGCTCAGATCCACAAAAGGATGAGACTGCAGTTGTTGCAAGCTCCATCGCTTTGCCGGGTCCAGCTCTAAGCAGTGGCCTAAAAAATCCTCGCAAGCACCAGGAATCGGTCGGACCAAATCGATTTTGGGACCAATTACGAAACCGGTCTGCAGCTTTGCTCCACTATAAAATGCTTGCATGTTGGGAAGCAACGGTTGTTGCATTTTGAAAACTTTAACAGTGGAACCGATCCGACCACATCGCACAAGCTTCGGCGGCACTTTGTTATTGATGAGCGAAATTGTCAAACATCCCAGTGCCCATGAATCCGACTTACTAGTATCTCCGGTTGAGTCGGGTAGCGCTGCGATGCCTTCAGGCGGAATGTAAATCACATTGCGCGAACTCACATCGATCCACATCATCCACAAACGAAGCAAATTCTGGACACCACCGAGAGTGACTGCTTGACTGTCGCCACAAAAAATATTTTCAGGAAATATTCCTCCATAACATGTCGCCGACTCAAGGCCACTGTTGATGACAGCGGCAATAACGTGGCGAATACTTTGTAAATACTCGAAAAACGGTGTCTGCTGACATTCATCGTTATCTGTTGCAGAAGATTTTGATGGTACAGATGCACTGGTTTGAGGTCTAAAATTTTCCAATTGTGAAACCAATTCGTCCGCTGGCATTCTGTATTGGCTCATTACTTTTAAACATTGTCGGATGCACATCGCTAGATGTCCCGGAACTGAGTCCGTAACGAACGGGGCGTAACCCTGCATGACGAAAGCAGCGTATTGGTTCTCGTTAGCATTTTCGGCTGCTATAGGACGTTCGGAATCTTTGCTCAACCACTTTTGATGTTCGCCACTGATAAAGTTAGCCAGTTCCAACATGATGCAGCCCAAACTCCAGCTGTCTGTTTTCCGTCCGGGTGACTCTGCGCGCAACTGCACAAATTTTCCCAACATCTCAGGGGACATGTATCTTGTCGTTCCACGAATATGAGTTATATCTCCTGAACACGTTTCTTCCCGCTGCATCCTCACCACATCATCCAGGTCTCCGATTAAAAAGGACGTCAGCCCGGATTTCACTTGCTTTATCAACACATTAGCTGGTTTTAGATCTCCGTGGATGATATTAAGGCTGTGCAGAAAGTTCAGACCTCTTGCCATTTCTAACATATGACGCTTTACAGTTGCAGCAGCCAGCAGTCCTTCGTCCATTCGTAGCTTATGAAAAAGAGAAGCCAAATCGCCGTCTGAAAGAACAAAGAGACCAGTTTGTTACATGAAAACTTTCACGCTATGAGTTTTTTTGTTCTTTAGCTTATTTGGAACCATGACACCAGTTAGGACGTTTTCAGTAATACCTTAATCTATACGTACCTGCTGCGGACGGTAATTATTATGAATAGTATCCTAGTCACTGAAGTAAGCTTCATTGCTTCACTGATAGGTCAATATATCACTTGGAAAAATTTACTCGTTAGGATAGATAGTCGGTCTACCCTAGTTTTTATGTTACAAGCTGGCAGATGTTTAATGTTAACAGGCGAGTTTCTTAATAAAGCGGGAATTACGTATATTGAGTACGAAGTGAATACATACATGAGTCAAGTATTCAATACAAAAAGATAACAAGCTGATAAGCCAAACTACAAATTTGAAGAAATCAACTCTCTTGTACGCCACAACACCTCTTTTGCCACAACGCAGCCCGATTATATGAATTATACCGGGTAGCGAAAGAAATTAAACCCGCAGAAAACGGCTTACTGTGGTAATTTCTTCGAGGTTATGCCGCCAGCCATGGTTGTTACAGAGTAAAAACCGAAAGAAATCTTAAGTGCAAACAAACCAAGGTAATCCATCATGATCTGGAAATAGGGGCCTCCCTGGCCTTTCAGAACTTCAACTTTGTGATATGAAACCAAATTATCGTGCTTCAGTTGGAGAAGAAGTTTAATACGTTTACGCCATTCCGTCCAGCTCTCTTGGCAGATTGAAATTTTTGACGTTTTGTCTACGTAGACGACTTTAATTGCTACGACCTTATCTCCAGTAAAATCGCCAGGATCGGTGATAGTTCCCTTGTAGACAGTGCCAAAAGCGCCTCTGGCAATGTAATCGGCAATCTGGAAAACGAACCGGCAGCTGGATCCGAGTTCGATAGGAATATTGTTGACTGCCATTTCGTTTTCAATAAAAAAATGGTAAAAACCGAAGAGCAGGAAATCTGGAATTTAATGCGTTGATTTAATCAGTTCTTCTTGCTAACTGTATGTACCCTCACAGTATAAGGTACGAAACCGGCAAATTATTTCACTGCGCCGTGAACACTTGTACTGAATGGGTCAAAATTATATAAATTCCTAGTGATAAGAAGGTCGGTTTAGCAGATTGCGTTGAATAAAACACTTTAACAGCAAAAATTAACATTCAGTCTTAGCACCGTGCTCGAAAATATAACAGGTAGTACTGGAGCAAAAGCCGCTGAAAGCAACGCACATGAGTGATAAATTAGAACAGTTCGCCTCCGCATGTGTGCCGGTATGCAAGCTGCATCGTATAATTATCTAATCGGTTCAGTGCCACAGCGTTATTCAATATGCAGTTGTTTACTTTGCGTGCTTCTACATAATACGAGTATATCGGTTGCGCTTCTCAGTCTCTAACAATCGCACAAGATTAAAGTACTGTATGCCTTAAAGTGGTCTAAAATCATAGATTACAGCTGTGAATATCAAACAAGTCGGTCACTATTTTTCAAACAAAAACCAACATGTAGCTTTTTAAACAGCGATACGAGAAATGTGAACCTAGCAAACTTTCAAGCTGCGCACGACATATCGCTGCGTCAGCACAATGCCACTATTATACTGTAGTATACACGTACTGGGACACTGAAATGGCTACACAATACACATGATTGTTAAACCTTGCAGGCACGATTTCACTTTGCTTTACGCAACCCCTCTGTGTTGCGTAATAAATGAATCGCCCCTTATAAGCTTGTATTACATGTGAGGTATTGCAAAACGAGCTGGTCATGAGACGTTTAGTGCTTGTTAATTTGCTGGCTAACAAATAATAACATTGAGCAGCAGGTAGGACACGAGTAAATTTGAATTCTTTGTTAAAAGCGGTAAGGGTATGGCTATTTATACCCCTAACATGCTGAATGGCGGCAGTTACCGCGGGCTGCTATCGTTAACTAAAGAGAATTATAGCCAAGGATGGATCGACCTAGCTGCAATCATAATAACTCATTTCAATAAAGTATATTCTCATTATCAGTAAAAATTTTACGTGCTGCTTCCTTTCTGTTTGCTCGTGCTGCCTTATCTTTGTCCTCGATTTGTTGTACTTTTCTGGTATGGCAGTACGCCATCCACTTGCTCATAATTATTTGAACGATAATAACTTTTATTTACTTCCAGCAACTCTGTGGAATGCTTACTTCTAGTCATTTCTGACACGAGCTGGTGTTTGAAAAAAAAGAGCTCAAGTAAGAAAACTTATGCATTAAAGAAAACAATTGTGATTAATATACTAGGTTTTCTTGTTTATTTTACTTTATTAGATGATTATTTTTTTATCCTATTTTATAAGCATTATTTGGAGTCAAAATTAATTTGAATTTTGTTGCGCTCCCCGTGAGCGTAATTTGATACTATGTAGTTAACGCTTATTAGTTGCCACACATTTTGTCTGTGTTTTATTGCGAATTGCACAACGAAATTGTGATTTGCACAACGAAAAACTTGAAGGCTGTATGACAAAATGCATCCCATTTAGGGGGAATCACACGAAAAGGCGCTGAGCAGTGAGCACCTATTTTTGAAGCTCGAGCGCTATGACTACAAGAAGAAAAGCCAGGACACCAGGGCGGAAGAATGCTTAACCTGTTTTTCCAGGGATTTTTGGTTGCGTTACCACAGTGTTAGAGGATTCGAAAAAGAAGCTAAAGAAACTGAAAGCTTGAATATTTCGAGGAACAGCTTGAATATTTCGACAAGTTTTACGTAGTGAGAAGCGCCTCCGCATGCATTGTATTGCCGTCGTTCGACCAGCGCCAGCTTGCACTAATCAAATACAAGCATGATATTGCTAAACTGTTGTCGAAGATAACATCGGAGCGCGTTGTAAAGCACTTCAAAGTTCAAACCGATTTTGTTAGAACCAACTATGGAGCTGCTCATTTTTACCGAAAGCGAAGGTAAGCCATCCATCAGACTTACAATCTTTCTGAACTGAACTAACAACTGATCACTAAAACTTACACCAGCTGTAGATTAGATAACAAGCTAGTTGAAGGTAAGGTTTTCAACTTCACAGTCATAATATGACTGTTCAGTAGAGATGGGCATCGGATCCAAATTTAAAATCCGAATCCGATCCGCGAATTTTTTAAAAAATCCGAATCCGATCCGTATCCGAGTTTTTACTGATCACAGTTTCCGAATCCGATCCGTATCCGACCATCGGATATCCGAGTCCGATCGGATTCAAATCCGGCTTAGTTACAAAAAAAACTAGTTTTTGATAATAAGCACTATACCCGTCTTTTCGCAATAGATAATACTAGTTGGAATAACCGTTTGCGATAACTGTTGGTAAAAAAACCTGAATCTGTGACTTAGAACACTGAGAAAAAAGCGAGTGCGCTAACTTTCGGTCAAATCCTTAGTGGAACACCATTGCAAAACAGACAAATCATAACCAAATTGCTCAAAACGGTGTATAAACCTTCTGGTTTTCGACCCTGCGCGTGTGCACTCTTTACAATGGATTCAGCTTTCGCGGTTAAGGAGCGCTAATAGTATGCATTCGGTTCAGTTGTAACGTGTAACAGGAATTTTAATTTCCTACCGCATATGTTCTTGAACCTATTCCGTATACGGCCAATGGGTTTTTTCTATTTTTTAAAGATGAAAAATGTTTTATTTGCCGTTGCGCAAGCCGGTCGGATTTTTACGGATATTCTTTCAAAATGCGATCCGATCCGAAACTAAAATTTTAAAATCCGACCCGTATCCGAATCCGAACTCGTTCGGATATTTATCCGAAAATCCGACCCGAATTTCGGATCGGATCGGATTGGATCGGATATTCCGACCCGATGCCCATCTCTACTGTTCAGTTCTAATACCTCTGTTACGGTTATGAGCAGTTACCAGAACATGCTATTTTATCTTCAGGTGATTTTCTACCGTTATCCGCCTTGATAACGACCACAAACTTCAGTGTGATTACGGTGCCGGCATTCACCAAACAGGTATTAAGCGGACTGTGCAGGATACACAAGCACGGTATCGTACATAAGGATATCCAGTGTTCCAATGTCCTTGTGGAACACCGTCAATCAGGAGAAGCTAAATTGTGCATACTGAAAATCGCCCCCTTCGAAAAAGCATCACATCTCATTGGGATACCAAATCTTGAAGACAATAACATAACACGTCCTGAAAGCTCGTCAAGGTTTTCTTCGCCCGAAATGCAGCAGTTGGTCTTTGGTGCCAATTCAGAAAGTCTGGTGGGTACAGCGACGGGTATTTCCAGTCTTGGATGTACGGTTATTGAAATGGCACAAAGGTATCCGCCGCGCTGGATATATCAAAAGAACGGCAGAATGATGGAGCTGACTTTCAAGTGCGAGCTCAGTCTGACGGAATGGCCCGCGCTCAAGCTCTGACTATGACTGCTCAAACTCTGACTCTGGCCACTCAAAGTCTGACTCTGACTACGCTCAGTCTGACTCTGGCCGCTGTTTCGCGGTTGTTTCGCTTAAGTACTCGAGGACCTCGAACCCGGGTCCCCGATGACGCCACCACGATACATACTCTATATGTACAGTTTGATGTGCTGTGTCGAACTGAAGTACTCGGGGACCTCGACCCGGGCCCCCAAGGTCGCCACCACGATATGTATTATATAAGCACAGTTTGATGTGCTGAGTCGAACTGAAGTACTCGGAGACCCTCGAACCCGGGAGCCCGAGGTCGCCACAACGATATGTACTATATAAGCACAGTTTGATGTGCTGAGTCGAACTAAAGCATTCAGGGTCTTCGAACCCGGATCTCTGAGGTACTTAGCTTTTCTCCTTACGCCCTATAAAAAAATATTTTGGAAGCCTGAGCCCAGCCGTAAGCATCGATCAAAATCTTAATCCCGAAACTGAATTTTCAAATAGTTCCGAAATTTCAAAATATTTCATCATCAGACATGAATTATCGTCTAATATGCTGAATCATTTTTAAATCTTTTCGACAGTGTTTCTTCGTTATCTATAGATGTCGCATTCATAAATTTGAATGGGTATCTTAAAGCCACTTCCACCACAGCCACTTCCTCATCTTAAAAGCCACTTCCACCACAGCGGGAGCGGCCGCCGTGCAAGCAGGGGGAAAGAAATCAGGACTATATTTCTATCTGGCCGGCCGCTACTCTATTCGTCCCGATCGCTTTCGAAACACTGGGCCCGTGGGGACCTTCGGCGATCGCTATCATCAAAGAGCTGGGAATAAGACTGCAGCAGCACACCGGGGAAGCACGCTCGCACGAATTTCTGCGACAGCGTTTTTCCATCGAAATTCAGCGGGGAAATGCGGCTTCAGTGCTGGGCACGATGGAAGGGCTAGATAAACTAAACGAAATTTTTCTGTTATAGTCTAATGTGTGTTTCTTTTCATGCTTATGCATTGCGTTTTTGATTTGACAAGTCCGTTATTAATAATGGGTATATATATTTTGTATCCCCAAATTCAATGTTGGCATAAACAAGTAGAAATACATATAACACGACGTAAAAATCTAGACACATGCCGGACAGAAATCCAGCTTAGGACCGCAGCTCGTGTTTAGCGTACAAAGTTGGTGCAGTGTTATTCCATCGGTAAGAGCGCTAAGAGAACCAGATACGTCAGTAGGCATCCCTTTACCTTCAATATACAAACGGATTAGGTAACGCGGTTTCAGGTATGCTAACTTGTATGCAGGTATGACCGGAGTCATCTAAACACAGCCCATAGCTAACAATGATGATGACAACCAATTTTGAAATGTTACATTCTTGTTCAAAGTTCGAGAGCTGATGAACAGGCAAGATGTTCAGAAGAAATACCAAACCCGATCTGCCATTGTAAACATTTCGTTTTTACATCCGTTACAAGAGACGGTCGCGCTGTATGCAGAATTTATTGATAAAAAAATTCAACTACTTGTTTTCCAACCGGCAACCTCATAGGTTTTGGCAACGGTATTAACGTTACAGGCACTACTTGCGTTAACACAGGGGCGTTGAGACAGTGATCAAACTCAGACCGGGAGCTTCCCAGCTGATCAACGAAGTGGGCAAGATGATTCGTCAGGAAACAGGCAAGATCGTGCGACGGAGTACCTGTGCCGAAGGTTCAGATTCGAAATACAACGGGGCAACGCGACACCCGTCTTGCAACCTCGGATAATTTAGATAAATATTCTCTGAAATTCGGCCGCCTGTTTCCGCTGTTTGTTGTTGCTGTGC